ATGTACATTACTGCCATTTACCACTGACTATCTTTTCAGCTCTTCCAAAAAACCCAATTTAATAACTTGCACCTGTACCGTATTTAAGCATAGAGGAACGGGCGGACCTGGTAAACGGTCGCTCTTGTTTCTATTAAACATTGACATTACATAAAAAATACATAACAAAAAATTTAAAAAAATACCAATTTTGTTATTGTTCTGTTAGTTTTACTGTTCTTTACACTTTAATGCTATAATGTTTCTGTTACTATGTATAAAATACTAGAACTCGTTAAATCACTGTAGGCCTAACAGTATTTACAAAACAAAACAAAACAAAAACAAAGAAAAAAAAACACTATAAAATATTAAAAGAAATCTATACTCTATGTTAGGATTATATTTCCCCCGACTTTCTTGAGCTATTACTTCTTTACTCTATTAAATGCTATAGCTTTGCGTTAGAAATGAAAGTGTAAAGAAAAGTACTTCATTAAGTACCGGTAGGTTAGTATTTATCAATGAACCAGTTGGCTTTTACAATACTATTAACATGCATGTGTAATATAAATTCAAACTCAATTGTGCACTAAATAATAAAAATATACGATTCATGTTTCAAGATGTTAATGCTATCAAATAGTATATAATATTATAGAAATAAACTTATATGACAAAATGAACAAATGTATGCAGTGCTGATCTAGGACTAACTAGTCCAGGAATAAATTCTGGAATAACCTAGTCCACTTTCGAGAAATATGAGCCTAGAATCATTAGTTAGTGAGTTAATCTATATATATATATATATATATATATATATATATATATATAAACTTGTTGACTTTACCTTGTCGTTGTTTTGTATTTTGCTGGGTTTTTTTTACACGAGGGCCCCATGATTGTCAGCTAACCGCTGTTTTGGGTTACCCTCGGTAAATAAGGTTTAATAAATGAAATTTAAAAAAAATCATTAAGAAGATGAGCAACATTCTTAAAGACAAATCTCATCACCTGAACCCATCTCTTCTTGTGTTTTAAATGTATCTGGCAGAATGTGATGCCCTTTAGTAAAAACCAACCTATACCGAAATTCAATATGCCTACAGCTATTCGTATTTATGAACTTTCCTCTAGCAAATAAAATACCAGGTTGGAATCCAGCAGAATTTAATCTAATTCCAAATGATATAGTTATATCCATATTTAATATTGTTGTGCCATTGTCTGGTGCTACCTTTATATTTATATAATATTATACATCAATGTATGTTTTCTTTTTAATTTTAACATAACTAGAAAAATAACTTTCCGCTAAGTCGCCTCCTCGATAAAGGTGTCGTTTGTGGGACAACCCATGTGTTTGTGAGAGAAGCACGTATTTCTGGCATTTTTCTTATTGGCCAGTTGTTTGACATTCTTAATAGGTCTATTGCTAGTAGGAGAGATGTTAGAAAATTTGTTATTAAATTTTAAGTCTTTAGGTCTGGGCTCGAACATCTTACTGTGCATATCGATTGTGACGTGTTGGAAAGCCATTACGGTGGTTAATAGCTGCAACATTATATTACGAAATGGACCTTTATGGAGTGGGAATTAAACTTAACAACTGGATACCTTCTACACTCAGAAACAAGGTGACAAAAAGGTTTCTCCCATGCATACATCTTGATAACTCTCATTCCAGCGATGATCTCATTCATGATACGAATCCTTTCATCTGTCAACATAGCGGTCTTTGCTCTGGAAAAAAAAATATAGTGCGTCGAACGAAAAATACAATAATATATTGGTATTCGAAGTAGCAGAATCTATTCACCCAAAATTATGAGTAGAAGGAAAAAATACTGACATATTTAAGTGATTTAAATAATACTAATAAAATAGAAAACAAAGTATTGAATTTAAAATGAATAGCGATTAATAAAGAACAACACACCAATAAGTTGTTAGTGATAAAGCTAAAAATTATATTAATTTTATATCTATTTAAAACATATTAATACTTATCTAACAACATGAATGAAAACAAACTATAGGATAAACGTCGATAAGTCTTGTGGAACAAGTTTTACGTATTACCTTATTGACAATTAAGTTGGATTGGACGATGACAGAAAGCCAAAGTGAAGTTTTTATTTAACATCAAGGGCCGCACCCAAACCTTGATGTTTCCAGTGTGCTTTTTAGAAACTTCCAAGCACAGCTTTTACACCACTCTATTCCCAGTTTTAATATTACTTTTTACAGATCATCGGTTTCGGGCCGTAAAAACAAGGTGAGCCAATGTTGCTTGGCGGGCAGCAAACATAGTGCTTTTAATTCATCTTTCGCGGGCGGCAAAAATCGTTGTTGGGGCGCCTTTTGCTATTGAAATCAACAATTTAAAGGCTTACCTAAATATAGAGAAAAGTGTTCCGAACCAGGCTTGCAGTAGAACCATTAGCAAAAGGATAGACGTACCAGCAAAGCATGATGGGCCTAACTGGTACCAAAGCAACACAGTGACAACAAGCAACTGCAAAGGTGCTAGCCAAATGTAGTTGACATAGCATAACTCCTGCGATTAAACAAGTACAATCATACATAAATATATTGTAGGCCTACATACTCTTAACTTTAATGTCGGTGGTTGATTGAGCGATACAACAATAGGTTCATGGAATCTTTAAAATTCCTATTACATAGCAAAACAAATTTTAGAATTTGTTTTATAAGATTTCAAAAAGAGTATACAAAACATCATCAAAGCATATATATATATATATATATATATATATATATATATATAT